AATATCTGCTCATACTTTTACAACAGTTTATGCCAGAAAACAAGGACTAGTTAAACTTGGGCTCAAATCTTAGTTAATACTGGATTGTAATGGAACTTTTAGTTTCATCTTATGTACTGTTAATATGAGTGAGTTTTTTTTTTTTTTTTTTTTTTTTTTGAAAAAAAAAAGAAAAAACATGATGACAGTCTTTTTCTTAAACCCTTATCACATACGATATTTGTTGCCGGAACAAAAGGTTTGTTGGAACAGTTCTGAGAAACGCTCTTTGGCGAAATAAAGTTACCATCTTCCCTTGGTAAACAGGCTGAAAGCCAAACAAGAATCAGTTATCGCTCAGATTGGCGAAAGTAATGTTTCCTTTCAAGTGGCGTTTGCTTCTTTGTGTTGTTTTGTATGGCTCACACTCTTTTCGTTTTAAACTTTATTGTTAGTAATGGAAGATAATATAAGGTGATTGCTATCAAGTTAATCACTTTGATCTCCACTTCAAGTAACAGATAAACACACTTCTGGTTATAGCAATCAATTACATTAGTAATAGCCCAATTCTGTATACACTAAGAACACTAAAAACGTGTGCTGGATAAGTCTATTTATCAGACATTACTTATGTGTATTTTCTGTTGTCTGCATTCCAATGAAAATTGAATGGCTCACTGGAAAATTTGTGACCTGGTGAAAGCATTTTCTTGACTAACTTTATGGTTCATAATTACTGTTCTGTCCATAAGTATAAACAAACAGACCCCCCCCAAAATAAGATCTTCTATGACAAAAATCTATATGGCTGATATTTATATTCTCACAGCCAGCAGATACTATTCAGCAAAATGAAGATTAAATAAAGCGAATTAATACATGAGCAATCAAACATGCGCGAGTTGTTTTCTGTCCCACAGAACACTCGGTAATGTACCTAAAACACATTAATTATACTAACTCTAAAAATTAGGATGTAGAAATCATGAGTTTGTTTTATGTGATTACAACAAAGCCTCCAGGGATATCTGCCTAACAGGAGGGATCCCTTTGTAGAAGATTTTTTAAAACTGACTCGTATATTAGTTACAAATGGAGAAAACCAAGAAAACGCCCATGTAGCCAGCCCGTTCGCGGCATTCTAACCTGAGACAGAACTACCAGTGTTCAACGACACTTCGGCCACTAGTAAGCCCGTGCACTTAATTGGAAAGTATAATTCATTATGTAAACAGACATGAAGGTGATAATCAGTAGTGCACTGTTTTAAGTAATCAAATGTTATAAATGCACAGCTGTTACATTTCTTATTATTTATTAGTCATGTTTATATTACATAGATCATACATATGATCTAATTATGAATTAACCCAATAGCAAAATGTGTACATTTTTCAATTCATTATTACATATCCATAATAATTTGCAAAGAACTGATAACTACAGTTGCTGCCAATTACACGATTGTTATATGAATTAAAAGTAACTTCAAATAAACTTTTTGGCAATGTTCATTTTTGTATTCATACATACATATATATACACATCTAATAAGTCATATATTTATTTACATACAGATAGAGAGATTCGATGGTTTAGAAGTTGTTAATATATATTTATTAGTATTAATGTAATGAATAAGATTTATATTAATGAATGTATATACAAATGTTTTTCATCATGAATAATAATAAATCCATAAATTTCTAATGTTTCAATATGTAGCATTTACAATAAAAGTATAGTTTCTAAAGTATTTATTATCCAAAAAGTATTTCATTAATAACATGAAAATAATAGACAAATTTAATGAGTATTCTCCTTATTACATAAGCTATGCTTTTCTTTGTTTATGCATCTTTTATGCTGTTTACAATGTGTCACTGATTATGCAATTAACAATTTAAAAGATAAGTAATTAGGAGAAAAACCACGCATATACAAATGGATTTTAAAAAATTATTTAACTTAAATTTAAGAAAGAACATTCTATTATATAACAGTGATAATACATGAACAGCATGAAATACGACAAATTTGGCGAACTTTTGGCGACGAACAATTTGTAAACAAATCCGAAATGCAAGAACGTCGTAAAATACTGTCAACTCTGAAATTTCCACGATTATATATTTAATGAATATATAAACATTTTTAAAATGATTCAGGCAGTTTATATTATTACAACAAAACAGCAATAATTAAATTGGCCTCTATTTCCACCGTCCACGACTTCACAGTGAGAGCCATCGCCATATTGAAAGTTACCCGTGATTCTTCAGAAGCAGAACTTTCGTCTGATTGGTTGAACGTTCGAGGAACATGTCTCCAGCCGGAACATTTTCAGAAAAGTTTTAAAATGTTGCTCTAAGCCAGGACATGATCCTCCTAGCTAGACGAAACATTTTTCAGAAGCCTCCCGCTTAAAGGAGTGCTACTAGAATCTCGTTTCTCGGAATTGTCCCGGATAGCCGCACGCGTCCCTAGAAGTGATAGCCTCTTTAGGCAGTTAGCCCTCGCATCTTTAGCTGCAAATGATCTAAAACTTATCTTTTTATAGAAAGATGCCTCAAACTAAAGTTATAATTCCAGCACAGCACACAACATGTAACAATTGATACACTGATCACAGATTAAATTAACTGCACCAATGTGATACAATGAAGAAGTGATCAAAGCAACAATCTGTTTTACAAGTTACATTTACTGACATGAATAAAAGTACCAGTTTAGAAATAAATGGAATTTATGTATGAAATGTAAATTCACCTGTGGCAATAACATTCTCTCCTATAAATGCATATGAGTAACTAATATGAAATCTTTAATTTTAATAAAGCATAAAGTTAGATAACTTTAATTAAAACTTCAGATTGCAGATTAAGTGAAACACTGAAAAAGTGTTTTCAAAAAAGAAATGAAATTAACAAATGTAACATATCACAAAAAATACTGCAAACAATTATACTCATTTTGAAATACTTTATATTAAAAAATATAAAGAGACACTAAAAATGCAAATGCTTTCGACAAAGCTTTGTTTCATCTCCCAAAATTTAAAAATGCTACCAAATTTTGTCAGAAAGATTTGGCTTTTATAATCACAATTTTTTTTTTTTTTTTTTTTTTTTTAATTTCTTCAATGTTCTATACAGATTTAGCAGTAAACTATAACTTATGTCTTCTTTGGAAAGAAGGGTTGTGTACGATAGCTACTTTTTTTTTGCCCCCAAAACAATTTAGAGTTTGAAATTATTACACATATAGTATATTATTACAAAACTATTATACATATAAATTATCGCGGAATTATTCTACATATACATTATTATAATTATTATGCATTATTTCGTATACATTATTACAAAGCTATTTCATTCTTCATCCAAAATAAAAGTATTACTTCAATAAAATACTCGGACATGAAAATTCCAAAATTTTAGTTCCTAATATTTTTGGCATTATTATTAAATTTTTATCCTGAAAAACTTCAATTTGAACTAAAATATATATATATATATTTTTGTGTTGTAAAATATTCCTTCCAGAACTAAATTGCAAAATTCTTGACAATCAAACAGAAAGGAAATTAAAATGATGAAACCACCTAAAACTCCAACTTTTGCTACAGAACTTTTACTTTTAATATGTACAGAAAATTTTCAAATGTAATATATATATATAAATTTATATGTAATAATTGTATCACATATTATCATTCTCAATCTAAAAGTTTCAATAAGTAATTAATTTTATTAGCAGTAATAAGTAGCATTAGCCTAAATTTAATTGTGAAAATCTTAATTAAACACATATTAATTTTCAGAAGAGACTTGCTGGTTTTATTCTGACAAGCTACACTCCTTGTAATTTACTTGTAAATTATCTGCTTCAGCTAATCATGTTTTAAACAACAAACAGTGATCCTTTTTTTCTTTAAAAAAGTAATTAATAACTTTAATACTTTTTTCTTTAAAAAAAGTAATGTAAGTAAGGGTGGAATTTGCAGTAAATTAACTGCAAATTCCACCCTTACTTACATTTGAGCTGAATATAGTGTCAAACCATCTCTTAACATTTCCAAACATCCTTCAAACTTCAAGCTGTCCTCTTTTAAAAAAATACTCTTCAACCAAATCAGATTATCAATAATTATAGAAACCTCACTTAAAAATTTCTATTTTTAGCAAACACTAATGAGCACAACAGCTTGATCTGCTTGTGAATTTCAAAAATGTTTTTGGCTTTGTTTTGTTTTGTTTTGTTGGGGGGTTTTCCAACAAATTAATTCACAATTACTAGCAATCAACATACCCAAAGCAAGTACGATCACAGAAAAAGAAAAAAAATTAAGACTGACAAAATTTCAGCATAAAACAACATTATGCATCATATTACAATTTATGGTATTAATCTTACATAACAAGATAACATAGCATGGTATTTTAATATCATTCACTTGAATCCAAAGCTTAGTGAAAAGGTTAACTGCAGCTAAACTTATATTTAACTTTAAAAAAAAAAAAAAAAGAATTTCAGGTTTTTCAGATGAAAAGCCATGCCATTCAAGAGTCTTATAAGAACTTGACCCATTGATCTTGCAACAGGCACATTTACAGAAAATACATTTACACAGCCTGCAAAGCCTTACCAATCACCCAGTGGCTAACAGATTGAAAGGGATAGCTGTATGAGGTTTTCATCATTCTTGTCATGAGGAAAGCAAGCACATGTAAATTTATCTTAGACAGTATTCCAAAAAGGCATACCTCCAATTAAATAAACTGCTTTAATTTGCTTTGCTGCAATTCTTTTAAAAATGCCATTTATTTTGATTAATTAAAAATTGAATCGTAAATTTATGCATGTCTTTTATAAAAATCTGATGATTAGTACCTGCTACAAAGGTCAGTTAGAATTTTAAGATTTCTTACACTAAAATAAATAAGATTATTTACATGCTCAAAAAAATTCTCAATATAACAAAATTCTAAAAGAAAGATATTGTTCATACTTACTAACATCTTGTAATAGCTCTGTATCAATATAGATACAATGCGTAGTAAGCGCATAGATATGGGAAAATATGGTTTATCAGATGTAGTCGTAGTTTGCCCAACATTCTGCACGCCTTGGCGATATTTGATATTTGGTGAAAATAATTTAATGATCAGAGGACAGACTCTTTCCTTCAGTAGAAAATTGAACTCAACATGCTGGGGAAAAAAAAGTAATTTAAAATATGCTAAAATATAACTCATTAACATGTGAAATGCACAAAAAAGATCATGTCTAGCATTATATTAAAATATTAGCTGAAAGTAAGAGGAATAAACTCATAAAAAGCTTTCAGAGAAACAAAAAGACTTGAAAATCGTGTTTTAAGAAATTACCTGAAAAGGAATACATTAAAATGACAAATGGGAAACAGGAAAAGAAAACTGTAAGTATACCGATGATAGACAATGAATATTAGAACGATAACTGCATTTGAAAAAAATGTTAAATTTTTCAACAAGGTTAACAGAGAACTTACTAATTCTGTGTAATTCAATATGACTTTGAATATGAATTTAAAGTGACTTCACAGTTAATGCTTTTTGTACATCAATCAGAAAAAAACTGGCATTATTTAAACTCCTCCCTCATGCTATAATCAGAATGTTGCAGAGAAATTATGCATGCACATACTTGCCAACCTATGACACTCAAAAATCAAGAGATTTTTTTAAGAAATCGGGAGATTTTTCACAATGTTAAAAAGACTTTTTAAATGATGAAAATATAGTTTATAAGATAACTTTAATAGTAACTAATTCTTAAATGCAAGCAACACAAAATACCGTACACATAAAAACATTTTTATTACGTGCATCATTTAAGAAACAAAAAATAATAATACAATAATAATCATTTTTCGTCAATGCTAAAACAGTGGCATATTTTGCTTTCTTTAAGAAAGAAACTAATAATTTTCATAGCATTTCCCCGTAGGCCTGCTTTCGTCATAATTTTCTATGTTAATCATATTAGATCTAAATTAGCCCGTTTTGCAACACTGAAATGTCTCACACTCTTGATACTATGGGAATGTCAAGATGCCAACATATCTAACATTTCACTATATTTCAAAATTCTATCAGCTCTTTCAGTTTTCCCATTAACTACTGGTGTTAATCCTAGCTGATTTTAAACTTCATCCAAGTTTTAATTGTAAACTGCTGTGAATGTTTCAATTTTTCCTTCCTTTAGGAACTCCTTCAAGATGATTAGTAAATATCAACAATGTTTAATCACATTTATTGGTAAAGAAGCTGACCCTTTTTCGATGTAATTTAGAGGACAGGCACCTCATATCTGCAATCTGAATTTCCTTTCTAAGATGCCTGAACCACCAGTCTTCAACCCTACCATACTGGTGCATTATGGCACCATGTGTAAGAATATTCCAGAGGACTCATTTTTTTAAAGTTTTAATAATTAGCTGTGGCTATAGTAAGCCTGTCAATGTCTTCTAAGTGGGACAGAAAGTAACGCACTCATTTTATGAAACTCTGGATTAAAAAAGAAACACAATTAGATACAGTTTGAACGGTATATTGCTTCCATCCTAAGATCAGAACGGAGCTGTTTTTAGTGCATCAATAATGAGATTATTTTTCAAATCCCTTCTTAACAATTGAACCTGTTTGGTTCTGCAAGTTGAGTACTTCTTGCGGTTTCACTATCGGGAACACTTTTCGAAATAAAGCTGAAGGTATCGTGCATTCGTGGCTGTTGGCTCCGTAAAATGCAGAGAATCTGCTTAATAACTTTGTCCTTTTTTACGAATAAAAATTTAATTTTATGTTTTTTTTTTCAAAACAACTCATGTTGTCCTTGTGTTTTTTTGTTACACCGTTTGAGAACATCGCCCTTCCACTGCAAAACGAAAAATCGCAATGCCAGGCGTACCATCGCAAATTTATTACATTTCCTTGAGGACAAATGGAAGGAAATGCAACTGTTACGTTTTGAAACGTAACAAGTATTTCACCTTTCTGCAGAATAAAAATGATAATTTCTAAACTTTTTCGAAGGCGATGTATCCACAACTCGGACAAATGACCGAATAACTAAAGAACATCCAAAAACAGCTTGTTGTCATCATTGGTAATATATGCCAGGTGCACGCAGTGGAGCACGATCCATTGGAGAATGGAGAACAAGTTTTGATACGATATGCTCTCACTGACAAGCAAAGTATCTAATTCAGAAGTTTTGTTTAGATATAATCTCGAGAAAATTCAATTGCGTCAGACGCAAAATCCCTTTTTTTTTTTTTTTTTTTTTTTTGTTCATTAAAAAGTATTAGCCAGTTCATAAAATAATAGAAATTTTAAGATAAGAAAAAGTCAGGAGAAATATATTGTAAATCAGGGTTGCGGAAGAGCGGTCGAAAATCGGGCGTCTCCCGCCTAAATCGGGAGAGTTGGCAACTCTGCATGCAGTAAGATGAGGTGAGTTAAGGTAAGGTGAACTTGGCAGCCAAAACCTCTCTCAGCAGTAAATAAAGGTGAACTTAGCAGCCAAAACCTCTGGAAAATCATCCAGTTTTTGATTATTGAAATAATTTCAATTACGTTGACACTGATACAATCCTGCTGAAAACAGCCAGAAAAGAATACCTTTTAATACAAAAGCTACATAAACTCATGAAAGATTTCCATGTAGACTGTAGGATCCACCAGCACATAATTTCTAAACACTCTTGCATTACACTTTTTGCAACATATTTTTATTAAAACATTCCTGGTCCAATATATTTGTAAATTTTCATCTATTAAAATTTCAGGCTACTTGTTCTTTTTCTTGTAATAGTATAAAGTTGACCTGACATTGACAAATTTTTAATTTGCCTATTATATATTACAGTTTATCTATATACATGGCCACACCAGCTACAACCTTTACAGAACAGTCTTGCAGTACCTTCTTTTGATATCAGTCATATCAATATTTCTATTTTATTTCTAGCACCTTTTCAACTAATGGCTCAGATAATATACAAGTACATTGTGTCTCGCTTTTATTATTTGGTGACATTGGCTTCTTTGACCTACACAAATTTCCATACATCATTGAAACGTACATAAAAACCCGATGGCAAAATATTTCCCTGCAATTATTAAAGAATAATGTTCTACATGTAAATTTTTACTTTTTACTAATTTAACACATTTGCTGCCCATCACATACTGGCATGTGACTGGCATTATTGCTCAAACGCCAATCCGGGATGACGTCTCAGGTGCCAGTCACACACTGGCATAGGAAAATCAATGTCTTATTGTTGATTTTCAAGTTACATCAGCAATATGTTTTGAATATATATGCTAGTACGGAGTTCATACATGAATAAGATTCTGAAATGTATAGATTGCAATAATATCATTTTAACTATTTTGTAATAAATTAATTTGTAATATATGTATTTGTTTGTGATACAGTTTCACACCATAATAATGCATTGTTACTTATTTTGATTTACTTTTAAATGCTATGCGCCAGTGCATAATGTAGCATTTATCTCTAGTGACGATCACGCGTTGGCACACAGTTATAAAATTCTATGCTTAAAGGCTTAGTAATCATTGTGGTACCCATAACAATCTTTTATTTCCTCTTTTAAATTATATTTCTTATAATAAGTAAGTCAACATATGGGTACAATATATGACACAGCATTAACATCAATACAACCTCACATGACAGGCAGTGAAAGTGTTAAAATTAGATATAGATTTATATGCTCAGTGAATAGTTTCATCATACACAATTTACATTGAAAATTATTAAAAAGGTCACATTTACTTCCTTCATAGATAGTAACTATAATCCAAACTCACCACACATGCTCACATCACTTTTTGTTCTTCACATGAATGATGACTTAACCTTTACCATTCTTATAAGTGAATTAGAATCTTAAGAGAATATCACAACACTATTCACTAGTAATCCTTGAGCTGATGCTGCAGTTGACTAGAATACACAAAAAGGCATTCTTTTCATTACCATTCCTTGGTGGAATTTTCATGTACCTCCATAAGAGAAAAGAAAGCTGTGTGTGAAAATGCTTACTCATATTTAATAAAACCATCTCTTCTCTGCCAATTTGTAAAATGCAAGATGAATTAAATATGACAAAGGTGATATCCGTGAAGTCATATTTCATTACACAATTTGATGAGATGCTAGGTGTGCAAAAATAACTGCTAATCTTACATAAAATAGAACTTGTGCTGGTCCTCCAGTAAAAATTGCTAATAACTAACTCAATTTTAGATCTTACATTTGCTGGTGTGCATTGAGACACAAAATATTCACTGCATGCTTACCTTGAAAAAAACATCAGGAAAGGATGACAAAATAGACTCAAGTAGTTCCAAACCAAACGTTCTCGTCATCTCTGTAAGACCAATTAACCAAAATGGTTGATCGGCATTAACTAACTGAACTAAATCCTTAAAAATAAAAAATAAATAAATAAAAACATTTTTAAGCAAAGAACAGGAAAATGAAAATATAGTTTCATGAAATCTATTTAATACAAACTGAACAACTCTGTTTGAAAAAGCATTAATTCAGCCAATAAAAAAGGACAGTGGACAATATAAACACGCTTATAAGAATTGTCATTTTAATTACATTTCAACATTCAACATTCCTCTCTAAAAGAAATAACACACTTAAAAGCATGCAAGAATTTAAACTAATGCATATAAAAATACCTGAAATAGCATAAAACCATCAGCCGCATGAGAAGGTAAGGACTTTGGTGGTATCCGGCTCCCACCTTTTAATTCCTCCAAATTTACATTAGACAGATTAGTAGATTCTGCCACAGAAAATATTTCAAATATTTAACATTTATACAGAAAGAAATTTTAAAACTTTTAAAAAAGAAAATTTAGTATCATACTGACCATCAGAAGGACAAAAATCTTCAAGTGCAATTCTTTCAAATACAGCCGAAACCAGCTGCCTTACGGTAGCAGAAGCAGTATTATTAGTAGTACTGTTTTTAGTAAAATGAAGCCTAAAGCACAGCACAATAGCCTGCAATAAATTACATTCCATAAATTCCATGTTTATCAGATGATACACAAAGAAAATGTAAATAGCATTTAATCCTCTTAAACTGTATTGAATCCAACAGAACCACAGCTAACTAATTTCTAGACACTCAAATCTAGAATACCAATGATCCCAATCAGTTGTTCTTTGTACTGTAAGCAGAACTACGCTTGCAGTTGATTTAATATATATTGAGATTTTTAATGTTTATACTTAATTTTTTTAAATGATAGGAATACAATACAGAGTGATACATATTTTTAAGAAGCATAATTTTCATTAACCCTCTTGCTGCGTATCCCACGATTTCCACGGGCAATGTAGAAGCAGCAAAATTTGCGCAACCCGCGATTTTTGCGGGGATGCATACTTTTTGTTTATTTAACTGTGCAACCCACTCTTTTCCCCCTCATGGTTTCATTTCTGCTTTTCTGTGATGTTTAATTATTTATTCAGATCTGGGTTAACAGATGGCATTAGTTGTCCATATTTCTGCAAAATATACAAACACACTTTACACTATTTTGTGCGCTCTTTTCAAAGCTCAAAGATGTCTGTTGTTCAAATGTCAATCACATGAGACTAACTGCTTGACATTTTGCTAGATATATATCCCCCCAATTCCATCAAGAAACTCGTAGACATTGTGCTGTTTGTTTCTAAAAAAAAACTGAAACTGGCAAAAAAATTCTCAAAGAAACGGTGCAAAGACGGCGAGATAAAATGCCTTGAATTTAAATTTAAAAACTATTTAAGGAGAGAAACATCTTATTCGAGGTTCCGAAGTGTATCATATTGCACTTCATTTCTAATAAATGTTTTATAAATATTTTGCGTATTTTCATTAGTATAACATATATTCATAGTATATTCATAGTTATGTTTTATAATTATATTTTATAAAATAAATCATAATTTAACCAAGATTAATTTTCAAAACTTTTCTTTTATATGATTATTCTTCAGTTTAAATTTTCCGACAACCTTTTATTTATGATCTAATTCTATACTGAAAAAAAATACTCTTTTACAAAACCTTTTTGTATATTTTAACACTAAAATATATGCAGATTTGAAATATGTAATTAAAACATTATGCAATTTTTGAACCTATTTTGATAAAAATAATTACGCAGCGAGAAGGTTAAAATCATATATTTATAAAAAAGAAGTTAAAAAATTTATAAATACAACATACCATAATTTCCGGAGAACAGAAACACTGCGGTTACTTTTTAAATCTTATTTCAGGGGGCGGCGTTTCTACCCATGCGGTGTTAGGTGCACTAAAAATAAAATTCTATGATGGTGATGTACATAGTTGGATGGCCTTGTCATGGATAGATGTGCTGTTACCACACAAATGACCCTCAGTGGTTTTCGAACGTTATTTTGTTCACTTTCTTTCCCTGAACGGCCTACATGCCTTATTCCCTAAACGAGACTCAGAAACAATAAACATTCTTTCCCCCTTTCAAATCAACATTCTCTCTTTTGATAGTATCTCTCCTCTTGCATTCAATGAATATTCCAGGACCCTCCTCTCCCCACCCTCCTTTTCTGCATTTTTTTCAAGGCGGTATGACTCCACCTGCCTCGCAAACGAACTCGACGTATTTCCCTTCGATGAATGGATTTTTCTGGCATTCTGCCAATACAGATCCCATCAGTTGGTACAGTACTTGTTGGATAGTTTTTAAGTAGAAGGAGCGGAAATTTTTTAAAATGTCTCTAAAACGGCACAGAGCTTAAGTTCTTACCGTAATTTATTTTGAGTTTGGTTCATTCAGATTTTTCTTAACTGTATGTAATAATCAGGACTTAGGTGAGTTTTTGCATCTAAACGGCCACGACGATGTCACGCGCAATTTTAATCTATTGCGGCGTTTCTGTGTTAATTTAATTTTTTTTTCCCCCATTTTTCTCGAGTGCGGCGTTTACGCTCATGCGGCCTTTCTTCCGGAAATTACGGTATTTTAAAATTTGCTATTTTTAAGCTGACATAAATAAATTGCTCATTAAGCGCATAAAAATAATTTTGCCATTTAATTTTGTTGAGAAGATTAGCTTAAATTTTCAAAGCTACCTCATGATCTTGTTCAGACCATTGACATTTTAATGTCATTACCATTTACATAACTTCTGTGCAATGAAGATACTAAAAATGTCATCATCAAACTCTATATAACAGTGTGGTTGCTGTAAGCTCCTCAGAACAAATTGCCATAATGGTAAATGAAATTCAGACAGTAACACAATGTAGATATTATAAAATTATATAATTTAATAAAATGGCAAATAAAATTACATTATTTGTCATTAAAACTGTAACATCAAAATAACAAGTGTTCAGTCAATCCAAAATTAGTATGATGACCACAGAAAGACACCTACTGATTTGTAATGCAACACATATGAAAATATACATGTCAGTAATACATCCACAAAGCTAAACAAAAGCCCTATTAAATCACAGACAGCCCTATTATGTTCTACAACTCTGCTATTCATTTTCAAGCACAGAATGCCAAGTAACACTTTGTCAAAGAACATACAATTGTAGCAGTAGATTTCTGATCTCAATCGCAGATGAAATGTTACATGCCAAAATTGTGGATGAACCTCATGAGAAATACATAGTCTGCCCAGAAAGTTCATAGACTAATATTATTTCTTCCCACCTGGCAACATCATAATGATGCCAAAAGTAAACGGTTAACTCCAGTACATACTAGTTTACTACTTTCTGCAAACAAAATGTGAATAATGACTTTTTTCATAAAACCATTTTCTGCTGCATATGCTTTACTGGTCTAACAAGTTACCTTGAATACTTCAGAACAGAACCAATATTTATAAAATGATGAAGCAGATATATGGAGAGTATACAATTCAACAATCAGCATTATTCAAATGCATAAAATGGGCAAGAAAACATCAGTCATGAAAAGACACCATGATGATCTTTGGTTGTGATCATCAATGAAAACACACATGTTTTATATATATCACAATCAAGAAGTAACTATTAGAATTATCACTGAAGAGACTGAATGATGGACATAAGTCAAACGTACACTTCACATTTTCTCAAAAAATGAAGGTACAAATCGTAAAATTCATTATTTCCATTAAAATAAACGTTATTTACATAATCTTTAGAATGCTATAAAAATAACAAAATCTAAATCAAAATTCTAATTAATAAAGTTACAAAAAATAAAAAGAATATTTCAGTCCATCATAATGAAGGGAAAAAATGATAGCACAGTGATGAAAATATCAGAATAAGTGTAGTCAGTACTTTATGGTGAATACTCTGTTTTTGGTAGCAGCCCTGAGCCTATTGGGCATAGACTTCACCAATATTTGCATTCTTTCAAAAGAAATTTTGCTCCATTCTTATTGGAGAAGCCTTTTCAAATAGCCCACATTCAGTATATTGTGTTTCCTTACTGTGATGTCAAGTTCTCTCCATAATGTTCTAGAGATTTAAGTGAAAGGATTGGTGTGAATAAATGAAAGTGTAAGGCATATGATAGAGCAACCACAGGCAGACAGGTATGTGTCATATATGTGGGATCATTGTCCTGTTGGAAGTAGAAGTTACATAAACAAAGCTTATGGGTGCTTCGTTGAAGATTATTTGTCAAGATATTCAAATAGGCATGCTAGTCCATTGTGCCATCAATGAACTTAAGATAAGAATGCAAATGTCTGCACCCAACATGCAGTCCCATCCCATCACATATTTCTCCCATGTTTTACTGTTGCTCAGTTTTTCTCATAGCTCAGGTTTTGGTTGTCTTCAAGTTAAATTTCTTCCAGTGCAACAAATTAATGAGACTTTACTTTCATCAGAAAGCAATATATTTGACCAAAATTCACTACCTTTATTGAAATGCACCCGTGGAAGAGCAAGCCTTTTCTTTTTGTTAAAAGTTTTGCTGTTATATGGTTTTCTTCTGGCTACTGAAGAGTTATAATCAGCTCAATGAAGAATTCTGCAGATATTTTTTGGATGAATTATTTTGTTAGTCTTCTTTCATTGTAGTTGCAAAACAACTTGAAGAAATTTTTGGATTCACTTTACCAATACTGACAACTTTTCTCGCTTTTCTACAAGTCAGATTTTTTTTGTTTTGTTTTGTTTTGTTTCTTTCTTATGTTTTTAATGGCTACTTCTTAGTGCATTTGCTATCCTACCAGACATTTTTAAATTTTTTAATCACAGTTCTTTACTGTGTAATGACTCTTATTCACTATTTCAAGAACTTCTTTCAGTGATTTATTCTGATTATATTAAATGTATAATTATTTTTCTTTCTTCAATTGTAGTGTCCACACACTAACCATTAAAAACTTTCATCAAAATAAGCAGAAATATTCAAAATTAGAGTACTACTGCAGATAAAGAACAACAATTAACTGTCTTATATAACTCCGATTTGAATTTAATTTGCATAAAACGCAACAGTGTGCTTTCACTTTTATTCTTCATTTTGATGGTTGAAGAGATCAATTTATTTTTGTAAGTTTATTTATTTGAATTTTAGCTAAACATTTTGTAGTTATCTTTGAAACATTATAGATTCTATAAATATATATTTTGATAAAAATAATGAACTTAAACCATTTTTCCCCCATTTTCTGAAAATATGCCAAGCATGCTTTCACTTAGGTCTATCACTGTATATTCAATTATTTCATATGACTTTAGTACAGAAAGTGGGAATGAGGAAAATGTGTGTTAAGAATAGTGTCTCAAACCAACTGCTGAAGAGTGAAATGGATGAAATGCTGTCTTGAATGTTCAAGAATTTCCTTGATTAAGCAATTAAAAATGACGAGTCTTGGGTTTGCTAATGCATTTTCAGATTGAAGTCACAAAGCAAAGAGTAGATGTGTCTTAATTAATCAAAGAGTAGAAATTGAAAAGAGAACCATGAACATAAGAACTTAGATGATGCAGAAAAAAAATC